GACTACATATACATAATATTTGCGAGTTTAGCTAAAATTGTTTACATGTGCAAATCTCAGTAACCAATAGACTATCTATTAGATGGTCTAATTCCTACTGAAAAAAACAAGTTTTTGTAATAAAAAGGGTTGATTTACAAAAATATGTTGTTACACTGCCCTGCGTGAGGTGAGGCTATTAAAAATAAAAGGAGGGTTAAATGAGTTTAAATGACGAATTGTTTAGTGCTATAGAAGCACTAGAGACAAGTAAAGTTAGCGATCTTATAAATAAAGGTGCTAATGTAAACGCTAGAAATAGTCATGGGAGTTCCCCATTGCATAGTGCTTCCCGTTCTGCTCGCTTCGAGATAGCAAAGCTTCTTGCAGAAAAAGGTGCTGATGTTAAGGCTAAAGATAAAGATGGGAATACTCCATTGCACATTGCTGCCCATTCTTCCTATGCCTTGGATACCGTAAAGTATCTTGTAGAAGAGAAAGGTGTTGATGTTAATGCTAGAGATAATTATGGAGATACACCATTGCACCTTGCTGCTAATTCTAAATTTTCTAACGCTTTCGAGATAGCAAGGTATCTAATAGGGAAAGGTGCTGATATTAAAGCTCAGAGTAATGATGGGTCTATACCCTTGCACCTAGCTGCTAGTTCTGCAAGCAACTTAGAGCTGATGCAGTGTCTTGCAGAAGCAAAAAGTGCTAATGTGAATGCCAGGGATAATAGAGGACATACTCCATTACATATAGCTGCTCGCTCGTTTGTATTATGGAGGGTAGAGTATCTCATAGAAAACGGTGCTAATGTTAATGCTAAAGATAATGATGGCTATACTCCTTTACATACTTCTGTTAGTACTACAGATAACATACATATAGTAAGGTATCTAATAGACAAACAAGGTGTTGATATTAATGTTAAAGATAATAAAGGATATACTTCATTGCATCTTGTTACTCGGTTTCCAGACTTATACATGGTAGAGTATCTTGTAGGAAAAGGTGCTGATATCAATGCTAGAGATAATGAAGGATATACTCCTTTGCATAACGCTGTTCGTTTTCCCAATTTGGAAATAGCAAAGTATCTCATAGAAAATGGTGCTAATATTAATTTTAAAAATGATGTGGGCTTTACACCTTTACACACAGCAGTTCAAGAAGGCAATATGGACATGATTAAGTTGCTTATAAACATCTCAAATATTGATTTCCACGCTAAAGATAAAGATGGTAATACACCATTACATATAGCTGTTGAGAATACTCAATTAGAGGTAATTAAAGTTCTTGTAGATAAGAAGCCTGATATGATTGACGATATCAATTATTATCATGCTACAGCTTTATATATAGCCGCTCAATATTATACCTTAGATATAGTACAGTATCTTGTAGAAAAAGGTGCTAATGTTAATGCTCACGATTTTGATGGAAAAACCCCATTGCGCGCTGCTATTCTTCACCCTTCCGTCAGGTTGAAGAATGCAGAATATCTTATAGCAAAAGGTGCTGATGTTAATGTAAAAGATAATTCTGGAAAGACCATCTTGCATAGTGCTGTTAGTGCTTCTAGGTCCAGCTTAGAGGCAGTACAGTTATTAGTAGGAAAAGGTGCTGATATGAATGCTGTAAGTAATGAAGGGAATACCATTTTACATGATGCTAGTGAGAATATCAACTTAGATATAGTAAAATATCTAGTAGGAGAAAAAAATGCTAATGTCAATGCTAAGAATTATGAAGGAAATACTCCATTACACATAGCTGCTCAATATTCTACCTTAGGTATAATACAGTATCTTGTAGAAAAAGGTGCTGATGTTAGTGCTAAAGGTAATTATGAATATACTCCATTGCATATTGCTTCTCGTACTTCCAGCTGGGAGAAGGTAGTATATCTTGTAGGAAAAGGCGTTGACATTCATGCTAGAGGTAGTACTGGAGACACTCCATTACACCTTGCTACTCAATATTCTAGCTTTAATGTGGTACGGTATCTTATGGAAAAAGGTGCTGATGTTAAGGTTAAAGATAATGAAGGAAATACTCCATTACACTTTGCCACTCAATATTCTAGCTTAGATATGCTAAAGTATCTTATAGAGGAGAAAGGCGCTGATATTCATGCTATAAATGGTAGTGGAAACACCCCATTGCACAATGCTGCTCTTCGTCTTGACTCTCACCTAGATAGATTACAGTATCTTGTAGAAAAAGGTGCTAATGTTAATTCTAAAAATAATGATGGGAATACCACATTGCACAATGCTGTTCGTTTTTCCAACTTGGAGATGGTTAAGTATCTTGTGGAAAAAGGTGCTGATGTTAATGCTAAAAACAAAAAAAATCAAACTCCTCTGGAGCTTGTTCAAGCAGAATGTTTAGAATGTGCAGACGTGATAAATTTCCTAAAAGAAAAGACTAGAGCTATAAGTTCAACAACTCCTTCTAACTCGACTAAAGAAAAGACTAGAGCTGTAAGTTCAACAACTCCTTCTCAAAGAAAGACTGCACCAGTGCGTAGACGTCGTCATATTCGGCATGCTAGTGATCGTAATACTGTTAGATTTAAAAATCCAGAGGGCCATTTACCAACTCCTATAGCAGCACATGCTGTACATGTCAAAGAAACACCGCAATTGGCTTCTGATCAAGGTGGTGCTAATCCTCCACAGACTGTTCCACATAATACTATTTCATTATTTAATGGTATAGTATTATTATTAGATCTTATTGCAAGACAGTTTACTAAGCAAAAACCTGTTCCTACCACAATAGTTACAGGTCTTTCTCAAGAACAACAAGTATTAAGTGATGCGTTGAGGACTAGTAATAATTTTGAGGAAGCGGTAGAACATGCTACAAAAAAGAGTGGTGTACCAATAACATTGTCAAATGTTGATTTTCTAGTATATAATGAAATTCTCATTAAGGTTGCCAGTGGTAAATCTAATCACATCCCTAAACTCTTAAGATCATATGCAAAAGATATGTGTATTGGTGAGCAAATAAGTGCAGAAAGGTGTGAGAAATTTATTGCTGCTTTTAATGAAAAGTTAAACATGAATTCTAATCAAAACCTACCTAAGGGTCATTTAGAAAAGGTTTATACTTCTAGTGGCAATACACTCGAAACCTATAAGTAAACAATTACAGCCTACCGATTTTTTGTGTCGGTAGGCTTTTCTCTCTTCTTAATAGACCTCTTTATTCATTTTACCGAAACTAGGCAGAAATTAAGCCTGGATACTGGTAGCTTTTATGTGTATTCTATTTAATAAAAAATTGAGTGTACATATGGATATAATAAAGTTCATTTTACTGCTGCCAACAGTATTACTTATGTTAGCTACTGGTATTTATTTATCAATAAAACTCAAGTGGTTACAGCTATCTAGATTACCATATGCACTATCACTTCTAAATGATAAAAAAAGTGAAAATAAATTTTCCTCGATAGTTGCACTATTCACAATTCTAGGTGGGAATTTAGGCGTAGGAAATATTTCGGGTACAGCTATTGCCTTAAAAACTGGAGGACCTGGTTTTATCTTATGGATGATCATAATTGTTGTTGTAACTTCTGTGATAAAATATGTTACATGTTATTTGAGTATAAAAAAACGAAAGGAAGTAAATAAAAGGTTTATAGGTGGAACTATAGCTTATGTTACCGATGCATTTGGTTCTAAGAAAGCAACGATTATATTTCTATTTATTATGATCATGGCTTCAATTACTGTTGGTAATCTTGTGCAAGTGAATTCTCTGTCAATACCACTTGAGATGATAGGCGTACCTCTAATCGTTGGTGGGATCACAATGGCTGTGATTTTTTTTACCATCACAGTGCTAAGTTTACAAAGAATCAGAATTGTCATATCAGCTTTGGTGCCAATAATGACAATAAG